TAAGAATAAAACAAGGAAACTGAACTGATTTTCATCAATGTGACTTCTTCCGTGACTCCATAAGACAATAAGTCACTCATCTTTGCCTTAATACTTTTCTAGTGGTAAGTGACAAATTTGCTATGTGTGTGACAGGAGGAGCAAGAATTTAAATGGTCAATAAAGTTATAAACACCATCTGCTAGATACCAAGAAAGAAATGAATGAAAAATGACAAACAGTGTTAATAACTTGTAAGAAATTGAAGAAAGCTAATTCTAATCATTCTGTAAACAAGTATTTAAGGAGGATTTGTTAAGCAACAGATACAATGTTGAATTACATTTTTGGAAGACGGTTTCCTTAATTGGTGATTACCATTGAAGAACATTTAAAGGAATCCAGTGGGGCTAAAGGGATTAAGAAATAACAAATGGAGAAAGGAATCTTTAAGTGCTTTTATGTTCATTTCAATCTGAGGAAAATTATGGTATCTAAGAGGAGATATAAACTTGATGAGAGGTTAGCTCGCTATAATAGCACCAAACATCCCAGCTTTCACTAAAAGGATATTGCTGGTGAAAGGAACACAAGTAAAAAGCTGAAATCCTGCACTTAATATTTCCTTCACCTGTGGATGTGGGAAGCAATTCTAAGTGGAGAAGGCTAAGGACACAAGGAGTTAAAGACATGGAATTCTCAGTATACAGACAGTATACAAAGGTTGTGTCGAATATAATATGGCATTTTATTTACTTCATTATTCGAAATATTGATTTCCAGCTTTACTCCCTAAATTACTGTTGGTGCCTTAAATTACGAACAGAGAATTTATGAAAGTCTTTTTCTTAATGATAATATGTCCTGAAAGGAAGTGAAATTGAAAGGCAAAATGTATTTAAATGTGGTTGGCATTTGTGTATGTAATCTACTGAAAAATACACTGAAACTTTCTTGTAATTGCAAAATCCTTTCTTTAAAGGAAAATGCACCTTTTGAAAGAGGTAATACATTCTACTTAATGTGGTACTCCTTTGAGAATTCAAATATCTGAGTTTTATCCACTTTTTGGTTACATTCCTAGTATTTCAATTCCCTATTAGTAAGCCAGAGAGGGTAATATTTTTGCCTTTTGGAAATATTGCAAGGATATGTTTTTATTCTGCACAACTTTATATAAAATATTCTGAGAAAGTTTTTTATGTAATTTGCAAAATATTCAAACAGTTATCATTTACTTATTCTTTTTTTCTTTATAGTCCAAATACATTTAAATTATTTAATCTAGCCTGAATGTGGTTGACTACTTTCATTACCATTACAGCCTTCAAATTCCTTCCTTTCCATTGTGTTTTTCTTGTTTGCCAAACTAGCTGAATGTTCCAACCTCTGTATTACTTGAAACCCAACACTAAACCACCCTCTCTGGAAGGGTATCTTGCATGCAAAGCTTTGGAACATATAGGTAAGGACGGGACTCTGACTTATGAGCAGTTCCTTAGCTTTACTTTAATTGTCCTTTTATTTTCATTGACAGTAAAATTTTCTGGAGAGTACAATCAAGATAGTGTATTATTAGAAATAACAGTAAGAGAAGCTTGGTCATAAATGATAATAGTCATAATAAGAATCTCTCTTACCAAGGCATTCCACACAGAGAGATAACAGCACAATAAATAAAGAATTTCTCAACTGTCACACAACAAAGAAAACAAAATTGCAATAACAAAATGTGATTTTCTAAATGTTCTTATACTAAAAATAAAAGCAAAAATATGAGATCATGCACTGGAGCCAAAAGCTAAAAGTGAATAGTTATAGAAAAAGACATTGCAAAAGATAAAAGATGGTTCAAGTACTGTGAGAGGAGAAGGGAAGATTCAAATAGAATGGTTTCACAATAAATCAATTATATTTACTATCCTAGGATAGACACTGACATAACTGTCTTTGTCCATTAATACTTTACGCTGTTAGAATACATACTGTTATCCATTTAAAGGGAAGATTCCATTTCTTTGAGTACATTTAATATTACAAGGATGGAATTAAATTTATTGTTTACCTTTTTTATAAGTAGGCAATAATACTATAGAGAAATATTCTCAAGAACAGGCCAATGTGATGCCTTAGAATAGTAGGGGCCTGGGAGTTAAGAATCATTAACTTTGTCCTATTTTTGTCATTATCTGTGAAAAATTCATTTGAAATAGTCATCTCCTAAATATTCTTCAAAATATTTCCCAATCCTAAAATAAAATTCTGCTTCATGTTTCCATTTTGCTGTAAGAGTTGAACTATTGAAGCTAGCAGAGAGCAGTGAAAATAATAATAAAATAGCTTAAAATTTTTAATGATGCATACTTTTTAAAAAGTATTTCAAAAGAAGTCAGATTACTTAATGGAATTAAGTGGATAATGCTTTCATGGGGTCGTTCAGCATAATAATTCTTCCCCAACATAACTAACCTAAGCAGTGCCTTTACACTTCATTGTTGAATAGTATATCGGATTCGAACAGTGGCTAGTTTCTACATGATTAGGAAAGACATGTTTGTCATGGGAGTAAAAAAATAAAATTTGTCTGTTAAATTACACATAAATATAAGGTACAAATGTATTTTTAAAATACAGATTAAAATAATCACACTTGCATTGTGTACATACGAAAATACAGTATTTAATATTCAATATACACAGACACATTTATGATAAATGCAACTATTTGGCAATGCCAGTTCTTTCAGGGTTTTTTCTGTCCCCCGTTTCCGTACCCATGGAAACAAAAATGCTTCGCCGAAATCTCCTAGCTCTGGCGGACATCTTGAAGCAGTTTGTTAATCTCGGCCACCAGCTCGCTGGCATCCATGAGTTCGTGTTTGCCATCACTGAGGTGGTTGAGCACATTGTCAAAATCATCTTCTTCGTAGTTTTCAGGAATCTCCTCCATGGCCGGCAGCCATTTCGAAGAAGGCTGCACACTGGAGTGAGCTCCGAGTGGGGGCCCAGGGGCGTTGGTGGGGTTTTGAAAATGTGTGCTGGCTGCCCAGGCCGCCACCCCTTGTGGGTAACCCCCGGATTTAGCTGGCAAGGGTCCCTTCCGGCGTTCCAGGGAGTTGGACCGATCCACCTCGCTGCACTCAGTGTAGGTGTCCAGGGAAGGCGGTAAGAGGCGCTGGAACACGCTGCTCATCTCCGAGAGCAGAGAGGATGTGCTGGTGTCCCCAGTGTCCTCATCGTTTGGGGAGTCCTTCCCAAATGTGGAAAAACTCTTCTTCTTCTCACCAGAATCTGCAGGCTGGGTGTCATCCTCGAGACTCTGATGTGGGTGCTGCTGCTGAGGTTGTGCTGGGAATTCTTCCCCCGGAATGAACATGTTACTCCTGTAGTCAGAGGATGGTGAGGGCAGCGGTGGCATCCAGCACTGGTCGGAGTGTCCCAGGACTCTGCACTCCTCTGTGCAGAGCCTCATAGCTGTGCATGCGGAAAACAAGGGGATCCATTATTGTACTTAGCATGACTCAAAATGATGCAAAAAATGTAATTTATGATTTTAAAAAATAGAATGGGACAGTTTTAAACTGTTACCATGTTATCCCGTTATTATACATATTAGCTGGACTATAATTTTGGCTTTAATTTGAATACTTGAGGTTTTATAAATTTTAAGTATTATGAAAAATCATATCTGCTGGTGGATTTTTTCATTTACTGATCAAATAAGGAAAAAAGGGTTGCCACTCATGTATTTCTCAGGAATATTCTGCTACTCAAATAATGAGAAAATGGATCAATAACTTACACATGAAAAGAGCTAAGGTGTGGGTGATGAATGCAATAAATGCTGAAAGCAAATTCTAAAAATGCAGACTTGTAAGGTAAAACCTATAACTTCAGAATGACACCAGATAATTCTTAAGTAATACCTTTGTGTAACCTTCTCAGTATTGAAGTCCAGCTATAGTTAGTTTTAATGGAGGCATTGAAAATATAATAAACTATCAGGTAATTATATTTACTAATCTGTCTTAAAGGCTTTATAATTACTTATTGACTTGTTACTTTAAAAAGTAGTGAAAAGTATCCTCAAGGACTGGGCATCTACAGTTACCCTGTTAAGAAGTCTTCTTCTAAAGGTTCAAAATATATTCATATTAAAATATATGCAAAAGTCATCAAAGGATAGAGGATATGAAAAATCCATTCCTTACCTCCTCCAGATATTCCTGATACCCTATTGGAATGTGAGTGGCCACATTCATAGAAAAAATGGATGATATGAGAAAAGCAGAAAGATAAAGAGGAAGAAAATCTCTAAATTTGGCAAATACTATAACGAAACTACATGATGATAAGTAAAATATACTCCACAAATTATTGACATTTCAGTGAAAACTAGGTCTCTCCAATATCATGATTTCATTTTGGAGCAAACAACAGAATTCGGAAAATGGAAAATAATTCTCTTAGATTTGAAAGAAAATTAGATTGATATCAGCCATACATATATTTTCAGAGCTACTTTTGTAGATCTGACTACTTAAGAAAGATTTCTCTTCCTCCAAAATTATTGCTAAAAGGATGAACATAGCCAAGTCCCTTTGCAGGGGAAGCATGTTGTCCATTGCGATAGCTGTGGTATCCACACCACCTGGTAAAGTGTCTGCATAGAGTAAGTATTCACTACATATTTTCTGAATAAAACCTGAAGGGAGTAATTAATGTTGACCTTCTGAAAAGGAGAAGTAATGATCTTCGTTTAAAGGCACAGAAATCACTGGTCCTCATTGCTTGAACTGCCAAGATACTTCTGTTCTTGAACCTCAGCAAGAAGTACATTTCATTCATTTTTAATGAAAAAGGTGATAATTTGAGGAAGAACAATGAGATCAAGTATTGTGAGAAAAAAAGGTGAATTGCTAGGAAATCTAGAAATATAAAGGAAGAAGGGAAAATGCAAAGAAAAGTATGAACACTGAATCCATGTGAATTGAGGGGGCGGGGAAGAGAAAGGGTATACATGGTGACCCATTGTGTGATTGTGTTGTGAAGACAGGGTAAATTTATTAAATAAGCAAGGATGCTTTAAGAGTAAATGCATGTTTAGATACCCTGACTTCATGCATTATTACTACTTGGAAATACTTACAAATCAGTTTTTTTTTCGTTGTTGTTGTTTTTTATCCATTTGATGTGGATAAAATCAAAAGGAGTTTAAAGTAACTGGAATACCTTAATAGCTATGAGGTTTTCTCAGCAATGAAATAACTCTGGTAGTGGTAATAATTTTTTTTTCCTTCTTCATTCCCTGGGTCTCTGAAAATGGAACTGAGATTTGTCTCTACTGTCTTACTTACATCCTGTCAAGAGGAAGGAGAACAGACCTGCTGACACCTCTTCATTAGCTTTCTGTCCTTAACTCTGTAGCTTTAGAATTGGGAAGGCCTTAGTTGCTTGATTGATTGTTTGATTGGCTTTGTTTTAATGTTTAATGGTGGGGAAAAAGGAAAATTACATAGGCTTCTAAGAATCCTGAATGTGACCTAGTTTTCTGGAGACCTAAATATAATGAATGTATAACCACCAATGCAATAATACAACAATACAGGGGTGACTAACACGATCTGAAAGTTCTCAAAAATAATTTTGTCTGTAGGAATTTTTTAAACAATGAATGTTATTAACAACTCCATCACAATAAACAGATGGAGTTTTAATTATAAAATAATAAATTAACTTTAATAAAATACAAGAATTTAAAAAAGGATGAAAAAGACTAATGAAGAGAAGGATGGCAAAAATAGGGAGAGAGGGAGAGAGAGAGAGAGAGAGGAGGTGCAGAAGACAGCATTTCTTACAAATTCATTGATATTTTCAACCTTTTCCCTGGAGACTCAACTGTTTGAAAACATTCTCAGTATATAAGTAATTCAGCACCACAAATGTTCCATGTTATATCCCGAGGATCAGGACTTGTTGGCAAGTAGTGCAAGTGGTTGATCTTTCTGTGGCTCCTTGAAAGTGCTGCTAGGTGGTGAAGTTTCCCCTGAAGAGGGAGCACAAGGTGGAGCAGAGGACTCTATTTTCCCACTAGATGGCTATGAATTTTGTCACTGTACTCTACCTTATAGGTGGGGCAGACAGAACATTGAACGTGAGAAGAAAAACGTATGCCTTCCTTCTATCAAGTCATTAGTCATAGGTGATCAATCATTATCTATTAAGAGCCTCCCATATTTGAAGTGCAATGATAGCACCCTGCCATCAAAAGGTTTAAGATTTAGTTCTGAGTCAAGTGTAAAAAATGAGGTCCTAAATGCCCAGTTACAATGTCAAACTAGAACGGGCTGTGCGCATGTTCAGAGAAGAAAAGAGGATGGAGGTAGAGGCAGAAGTAGTTAAAGGAAGAGCCACTTAAACTTTGAGAGATGAATAGGATTCACACACACAGTGAAGAGAAGCCCGTTTTCCAGGTAGGAAGGGCACTGTGAGCAAAGGATCAATGTGTTAAGTAAAGAGATGCCTCTGCCTACTGCAAAAGATACAAAAATGGCAAAATTGAGAGTTAATCAGCTAGGAGTGGATTTCATTGGCCTTTGAATGCCAAGATAAACAGTTTATTTCAGTGTTGCTGGGCAACAAGAGTCGAGTATTGATTTTCAGCCAAAAACTGTAAATTGAAAGGTTCTGAATAGGTTGTGAAAGCTGTACTATAAAGAAAGATTTGACAAAGGGAGGAGCTACTAGACAGTGAATATCAGCTTGTATACTGGTACAGAAAACCAACCATAGAAGAAAGGCTGGAACAGAACTAGGATACCTGCCATGAGAAAAGACAGAATACAAAATTAAAAAGGAATGCTTGAAGTAAGTACTCACAGGTGGCAGACATGAAAAGGGAAATGGACTTACTCAAGAAGAAGGAGTATCATAAGAAACAAAATGAAAAGCCTTTACGAATCATCCTGATGAAGCTAATACAATGGCAAAATGGAGATTTTGCAGGCTTAGTGTCATAGTTCAGAGTTGAATGAGTAAGAAAGAATGTTGACAAACATGAGCCAACAGACAAAAATGCATGCTGATTTAACTACTCAAAATGTGGGATATTTGTGTGGGAATTAATAGAATGAATGACCAGAAATGACCCTGTTGCCAGGCGGTGCAACATAACATAATCTATATTTGTTCATAGTCTAAGGAAGAAAAACAGCTGGAATAAGACACTTAAGTCCTAAAAATATGCATGCCTTAGAAGAATATGCTGATCTCTGTTAATGGCACTCAAATGTGGACTTACATGTTTTTCTACTTGGGATATTCCCTGGGAACATAAGTTTACAAAGTATAAGTTTTACACCTGAACGTGCTTGCAGAAGTGGCCAGGGTGAATAATAAACTAGAATATGGGTAAAGTACCATCAGAATGTTGCTCATAATTAAGGGATCGTTATCTTTGTATAAATATTCAATATGCACATTGTAGCCTATACAAGCCAAACATGAGTATATAATACTTCATGGATCACTGCTGATTTCCTGGTGCTCTGTGCAACAGGGATAGCTCTGACCGCACCCCTCACACATGGAGGTAGGTACCTAGTAAGGCAGAAATGCATCTACTGTAATACAATATGTTATAATACAATGTCATGCACCAGCAGAATAGCTCTCCCACCGCACGCCTGGATTAAGTATGATTGTATAAATATGAAATTGTTTCTTCAAGGGTTTTGTATATGTTAAGTGGAGTTAAGAATGATAGCATAAAGGTAAGCCTCTAATTTTGAAAGGAAATATGACATAGATGGAGCTTAAAGTCACTCACTAAACAAGATTCACTGTTTTGTAGATTTTGTCTACGTCTATCTATTATTTCCCTAATGTATTCATTCCTTAACATTTATTGAGTTCAAGTGCTAGATAACTCTCCTGCTGTGAAC